TGGGCCACCCCTAACCAAGCTCTTCCTCACCCTAACTTGCATCACTCAAGATTGCTTCTATTTGCAGCCATGAGCTTTAACTCATCACTACCTCTGTTGTGGATCGAGTGAAAGTGTTAGAGAAGCCCTGCCTCTGGTTCAGACTTTTGGCAGCATCTTAAATTCAGGTGACCCACACCTAAACCACTGTGGCCTGCAAGTTCTTAGAAATGGTCTATAGGGTCTACTGAATAGACAGGAGAATAACAGACAAAAGGCCTTAAACAGAGTTACTTACTCCTACACAGGTGAAAACAAAGAACTACAACTAGATTACATAAAACAGTGCACAACATAAAGGTACCTATATTATAGCTAGCAAAGAAGCAGTATAGATTAGGGGGTCAATGTAATTTACCACCAAACTGATGATGGAGTACACAGAGAGTCCTTTCACACAGGAGGGTAACTCAAAGGCCAGCATCCCAAACCTTGAGGAGAGCTCCCCACACATTTCCAGGGAATGTGCAGAAGATTTCTGCTTTGTGAAAGTTTTGTGTCACCTTTATTTTGTAAAATGAAGTGTCAGTCAGTCAGAAATTCAAGGCTTATCTCCCTTCAATCTACTTGGAAGGCAAGATGTTTATTGTCAGCTAGGAATGCCACCTCCTTGGCACCACAGATAACTCACTACCAGACAGATGTCTGGTCTGGTCATCCCACCAGTTAGCAAATTCACGTGAAGGGTAAGATGCCCTGAGTTATAGCACCAGCTGATAGGACAGATAAGCTCTTCTGTGGCAGAGGAGAACTCCCACCATGCTACCTGAACTAGAAATATCCCTTTTCTCCATAAATCCAAGAATGTCACTTGTCCCATCCTTAAGATCTCGCATGTAGCTCCTCACTGTGATCCTATGGGAAAGGCAAACAGAATCCTCTTTTACTTGGAGGAAACGGAGGCACAAAAGGTAAAAAAACAAAACAAATTATTGGGAATGCTCCCAGGTACTTGTTTTTTACTATTTCATTACAGAGGCCAAAACAAATGAAACCCTCTGGTTACTCAGTTCCTGTGAAGTTCAAGGTATGTCATTGTGGGAGCCTACATCTTAAGCTTCCAGCTTTGAACATTTTTGTTCTATTGACACATTCATGGCTGAATAGGGAACTGTCAGAGCTAGCAGGAGTTCCTGACTCCCAACACAATTATGTACAGATCAGAGCATCCTGAATCTATCCCCCTGCCAAAGCAGTGCATTCACACCTTCCTCCCAGCTGTCCATCCTTTACAAGACAACAGGAATGGCTTGTAAATCTGAGCCCTACATCTGGTCTCACCCACCTGGCTGACACCCATCAGACTGCAGCACTGGCTCCCACACACACTCTTACAACTTTTCTATCCATCTCCAGTGAAGATCCTGGTGAAAGTGAAACTCAATACAAAGCAGATGCTGATCATAACTGAATTTCCCCAGACAGTATTATCTCATCTCACAGATAGTAGCTGTTTTATCTTGGTGATGCTCTGATGTTCCTCTATCTTTCTTCCCTTTCCCTGTAGATCCATATCTATGCCTCAAGTCCATTTTTTCTCTTAGAAGGAAGCCAGTTTCCTGACTTAAGGCACAAAACTTGTATTTCTATCCTTTCCTCTCCCCCTTCCTGATTCTTGTTCATAGTGATCCTCCAGAAGTTTGGCTACTGCATTTTCTGATCTCCTTTACACCCCTATGGCAACAGTGACACAACCACCATGAAAAATATTAATGATGTCAGAACGATGTTAGTGCTAAACTTTAGAAACTCATGTAGCAAACACAATGGAAATTTGGAATGTTGTATCAGTGACTTAATGTCTTTAAGACACATTTGGCAAGTTTTTCAAGGCTACTTAGCAGTGCACTTGACCTTTGGCTTTCTTCCTCTCTTCATGTCTCCCAGGTATAGATATCACCTCATAAACATCTCACACTACTGCAAGGTTTCTTTTCATTCAGCAAAACACCTGGAAGACACATGTGACCTCACACCTCGATTTCTGCAGGGATATTAATGCCATCAGGTTTCTGTGCAGACCAAAGCAGACATCAGGATAACACTTAATGAAGTGCACCAGATATACCATCTCAAAAGTAACCCACCTGACCATCTTATTATCTTACCCAGCTACATTAGGGTCCTTTGGCAGTAGCTGATGACATACCAGGAGTTTTTAGCTGAAATTTGATGGTAACCCATTACCTGTGTCTTTCTTATATTCATAATGCCAACATAAGGACTTAAACCTCTGTTGGAGCAATCAAGAGAAGACAATGGAATCAATCAGAGGTCTGGAGCCCCTCTGCTCTGGACACAGGCTGAGAGCTGGAGGTGTTCACCCTGGAGAAGAGAAGGCTCTGGGGAGACCTTAGAGCCCCTTCTAGTGCCTAAAGAAGCTCCAAGAGAACTGAAAAGGGACTTTTTCAAAGGTCTGGAGGGGCAGGATATGGGGGAATAGCTTCACACAGGTAAAGAAAACTAAAAAAATTCTTGGAAATGCTCTTTGGTACTCAGTTTCCATTATTTCATTGCAAATAGGCCAAAGCAAATGGGGAGGGCAGGGATATTGGGAAGAAATTTTTCCCTGTGAGGGTGGTGAGGTCCTGGCACAGATTGGCCAGAGAACCTGTGGCTTCCCCATCCCTGGAAGTGTTCAAGAGCAGTTCAGAGAGGGCTTGGACCAACCTGGTCTAGTGGAAGGTGTCCCTGCCCACAGCAGGAGTCTGTTCTGTAATGTCCCTTCCCACCCAACACATTCTATGATTCTATGGTGCCTCCAGCCTTCTCAAATCTTGTGCTTTGCCTGAATGCTTTCAAAGCACATCTTGAAAAAGCTGTGGTACTATTCTCTAGTTCAAACCTGAGATGGTTGTTCTAATATACAATGGGAGGGAAATGTCTTTTCTCTCACCAAAAAGGGATTTCATGAGATCTTTGTGAGTTGGAAATGGTTAGTTCTGGATTTCTTCTGGCCAAAGGCAATGTACTCTGCCATGCAGTATTCTACCCACGCAACTCTGAGGGGGCGGTATGGCAAGCAGATGAGGCTCACTAAGGACCAGTCCTGTAATTCAAAGAATTAGCCTTCTGGACCAGTTTAAAATGTGAATGGGAAACATCTGTATTATGTGCAGAGCAAAGGATGTCTCAGTGCCCATGGCCATTGCACTTTACCAGCTTGTTTTTGTAGGGTAGTGAGAGAGACCTCGGTTAAAAGAATGGGCTGAAAATCTTCATTTCAGATGAAGCTGGTAGTCAATAACCAAATTCTAGGGTGTGGAAGGTGTAATTTCAATCTAGAAGCTTCTACAGGGAAACTGAGACCCACAGTAGCTCTGTGTGAGGGGAAGGGTTCATCAACTTCTGTCAATACAGCAGCTGATTAATTTATTGAATGCTGATCAATACTTGACTCTGGACTCTCCTTTGCCTCATCTGCAAATTCAGGGTCTGCCAATGGAACATAAAGTAACAGGGCTGCTGCACTGGGTGTCTTACACACCTTACACACGATGGCCAGAGGCATTGATTCAAGAGACACAACAAGAGATGGGTGCCAGGAGGTTATCTGAAGTTCATATTGTCTTGCCCAGGCTTGTCCCCAAAACTTCAGCTACCAGACCTCTACATTTTCCAAAACTACTGATGACTTGTCATTTTAGGAATTGGTTTGCTGATGATTTCCTGTTGCTCCAAATGACAGTAAGATGTGGAATTGAGTTTGGTGTGGCTATCTACAGCCTTGAGCCTGCTTCCACCAGAAGCAAACTTGTCCTCCCGGCACTAGAATGTGCAGAAGAGGCTGACTGGTGAAAACTGAAAGGCTCCCAGAAGAATTCTTCCATGTTTTGGGTTTTTTTTACCTTGCTCTTGTCAATAAAGGTGCAGTCTCACCATACACTTGGTCTCCCACTGAGATGGGGAACATATATGGTTTTGAAAATTCAGAATTTTAGAAGCCTACAATATGCTTAAGCAGGTGGAGGAGAAACAGAGCACATAGCAGAAACAGTTTATAACAAACCACATAGGAACTTATCTGCCAGGGAAAAACCATTAAGATGAGAAATATTGCGAAGACTCAGCAAAGCAAGACCTAGGTATTGTGAAAATCCAACAAAGCAGAAATCTGTGGCTCCAGAAACCAGCCAGGACCAGATGGGTGATTTTGAGCAGAACCTGAGGGAGAGCCAAACCTCTACTGCACCTGCCCAGGAGCAGAGGTCAAACAGTGACCACTGAGGAAGACATTTGGCCTTCATCCCAGAGACCCCAGCCCACGACCAGCAGGAGGCATGGCAGCTAATTACAATAAAAAGTGAGAGAAGGCAGAGATGGGTGGGCAGGGAGGTGTGGGCTTGTGGGATCAGTGTGTATTTATACCTGGAACCTGTCTTGACCAGGTACACATGGTTTGGAGGAGATATCCCCCCATGTGTCCCTGATGCTGTCAGCTGATGGAATAAAACCTACCTCTACAATTTTGGTTGTCAAGTCCTGATTCCTGAAATCACCACAGCTGAGCCTTCCCTCCAGAGCTACATTAAGCTGCTCCTAGAGAATTCATCCTGGAGTCTTTTTTATTTCCCTGCTTTCTTGGAGTGTAACACAATAGAGGGGGGTGAGGGTGGAGGGGCAGGTTTCCCCTCAAAATGTCCTGTCAAATGCACTTCATATGTAGCTTTGCTGACAGAAATCAGGGCTGGAGGAATGTCATTGAAGTCAATCCTTCTGTTTAGAGGGGAAATCCAATAAATTCTCTGAAAGCTGGGCTTGGTCTCCAAGGATGATTTTCTTTTTCTATCTTTGCTTGAAGTATCAGCCACTCTTCCAGCCCCATTCAACTCCATTAGCAATTTCTTCCTTTTACACATTCTTCTGTTCCTTTAATATTTTATTTTGCAAGAAAAGTCTAGTAAACAAGCCAATTAACAAACAAAACCCCTTTGAAGTGCAATTGATGAACCCAAATTATTTAATTTTGTTCAGAATCCTACTGAAAATGAGTTCAAAAAGACAACAAATTGGCATTGATCCTATCACATAGCTTAGTTGGAACAAGGGCAAAGCAAGGTTGGCAGAGACAGGCCCCATGTCTTTCCTCCTGATGCTGTGTTATTTTTCCTTGAAACAATATGTGAACAGACCACACAAGTACCCTGAGAGCCAAAGGACACCAGAGGATTAATTGCAAGCAACAAGCCAGGATCACAGGTTTACACTAAGCAGCTTCAGCCATGCCCTGCAACACAGAATACATGACACATGAGAACCAGCCATGAGTACTCACAGATTAGTAAAAGGGACAAAACACCCACCCTGCACACAATATCTCACTCTTTAATTGCAACATGACAGGAGAAATGACATTAGCCTATTATTTTGTTTTAGAATCCTGTTCTCATCTATACCAGCTGCCTTTGTTCTGAGACGACTGACTGTTTCTGTTCTTAGCTTTGCCAGCTCCTCTTTGCACCTGGAGTGCTCTTGCCTTTGCAGTTCCGAGACTTTAATTTAGCCTCATTTTGAAACTTTTAACAATGCCATGGCAAGAATGTTTTTTAAATTGATACTTCCTAGGCTATCAAGTATAACACAGAAAAAAAAAAATTGTTTGAAGGAGAATATTCCCAGTGTCACTTTGTCATGCTTGTTTCCCATTTTTCAGCTCCCAAGGGGAATGCGGTCTGGTCACCATCAGTTTTATGCTGACTGGTTTCCAGGTGCCTTCAATTTCATTTATATTCCATTTCCACATTGTTTTCTACAGTTTCTCATAGGCTGATTTAGTGAGGCCACTAATATAAGCTCTGACATTGCAGACATTCCTTCTGCCCATGGTTGTGAGAGCTTGCAACAGCTCATCATCTTCATTGAAATGTGGCCTTAAGACCCAGCAGGATATGAAGGACTCTATCATCCTGCTTCTGCCCAACAACACAGAGGGAGGATCAGGGGGTGGTTACACAATGCAGATTTTGTAGCACAAGTTCACAGGGCAGCCCTGTGAAACACCTTTCACCTTCCATATGAACCAAAACTTCTTGTATGAGATTCATTCTGTTCCACTGGGTTGTTTGAGATAGACAGCTGCCCCAAGGATTCTTCTAGAGTTTCTGGGAGGACAGACTCTTAGAGAGGGCCTTGGTTGGGATGGCTGGCCAAGAGCTCACATGCTGCATGAAAAAGAGAAACAAATCTGATTCATTACCAGTTACAGTGCAACTATCCTAAGAAAGGGTTGCATCTGTCCTGGTCCTGTCCCTGAGAAAACCAAAATCCCTGCCTATGTGTTTGTCACATGAAGAGAAAAACATTCCAGGGAAATCTAGCAGAAAGATGCCATAATCATGTCAATAATTGCATAAACATATACAGAAAATACACATCAATAAGAAATACCATATGAAGTCCCCATACCCCCAGCAAGCCTGTGATAATTCATAGCTGTCACTTCCCTCCCTTACCCCACAGTTTGCTAGAGCCCCAGTGGTCATTATTCACTGCAAACTATGCAGCTGGATAAACTCAGTGATCAGACAGGTCTTTCCTATTTCTAATGGGAACTTGGACTGAACTCTGGCCTGCCTGGGTAGCCTTGGGAGGAATGACCTGATTAAACATCTCCAAAGGGGAAGTGGCAAGTGGGAATAGTTTCATTCTTCTAACATGCCATTGGCAATGCACCGAGTTAGTGAATAATCACAGAGCATTGCATGATCAGAATATTTCATTAAGGCATCTCTTTTTCTCTGATTCATTGTCAGTTCCAGGTTTCATATACTGGTATTTCTCGAGCCACTGTTGCCAGGAAGATCAGACTGGGTTAACACAAAGTCCTTTCTTCTTCTAAGCTCCACTATATAATTTGTCTTCCTTTGCCTCTGAGTTATGGAGAGTTTGGTTCCCACTCTGCTCATTTTTTTTTTCCTTTCAGTGCAAAGAATGCACTTAACTCCTAAAATATTAGAGCTAAGATATGGTTGCTTCACTGGCAAGCACCATCACTGTCACTCTGGAGGAATTTATCATCGTGAAATCCATCTTACTTGGCTTTCCAGCCCTGTGCCTGCAGACATCTCCATCTGAGCCACAGACCCCACACTCCCCAGATGTTGGAGTCAAGAGAGGAAAACAGGCACTTCTGAGGTGCAATTAATCTCAGCCTCATGTTGACATTTCTATTAGGTCAGAACTACGCTCTGTTTCTCTTCACTGACTATAAAGACAGCCTGGGGAGACTAGCCCACATGGAGGTCTCTTTGACATAGATACCTGTGTTAGGTGAAATGGATTTTGTCTTTTAGGTCTGGTTGTGTGGAAGTCAGACACCCAGTTGTATGTCAGAGCTTTAATTTTTGGAGCACTACCTGCAAATTTGTTTCTTTGTCCCTCTCTTGCAGCAGGTGCAGAAGGGCTCTGACAGAGGTTAGTCAACCTGTAGTTTTGATAAGCCTTGAGAGCTTCAGATGGTTGGTGTCTGCTTTGGCAACTTGTCCCTGCTTTCTTTTTCTTTTTTTGCTTTTTTTGTTTCCTCAGCTTTGGCTTATCATGTAGTAAAAGATATATTTTCTTTTAGGCTTTTATATGCTACATAGGAGTTGTAGGGATGGTTAATAGCAAAAGAAAAGAGTGTATTTTCCTGGTCACTGTGTTTTCACGTTGAATGTAATGGCAACAAGCTGAATTTAAATCCATAACAATTAGCTGAATACTCATTGATGCTACAGAAGAAATCAATAATGTAACAAGAAACTATCTGTCCTGGTGCTGAGTGCACATAACCACCATCAGAGAATTTGGCTCAAGAGAAGTATTTACACAGGTAAATTTACAACCAGATCTATGTGAATGGAGCAATCCCCTCTCACAGGACTGTTGGGATGGCTCAGCCATTGAAGTCAATACTTGTCAGCCTGACCATGAAGACTTGTCAGGGACAGAAATGGTTCATGCCTTAAACATTGCCATGAAGGAGTTTTGTCCATGATAATGAAAACTGTATAAAGAAGCTACAACCACAGAAGCCTCCTCGAAGATACCTGACTGGAACATTGGACTGTGAATTAAGCTGCCTAGATAAGATAAAGGGGACATTATTTTTTAATCATCCCAGGTCTAGGGAGAAACAAACAAGGCTGAGGGGAAGGAATGCATCCACAGGAAGGCCAACCCAGCAGCTGTGCTTAGAATCATCCCTGGTTGGGTTTGGGGTGGGGGAGACCACAGCCCACAAAAGCCAGGTTTACAGACTCCCCCTGAAACAAGGTGGGGGAGAGAAGGTTTTGGATGGATAACCTCTGGTCAGAGGCAGTGAACACCCATCCTTCCTCACACAAACCAGCCCAGCTGTGGAACCCTCAACCCCAGGAAGGCCACATCCATGAGACATTCACAAGAGAGGCAGCTGAGGGGGTGTCATAATCCATCAAAGATCCCCAAAGCGCTCCCCAGAGGCCTTGCACCACGGGACTGCATGTGATGCAAAGTGATGCCATAGATCCAGAGTCTGCTGCAAGAAACTGTGTCAAACTCCCCACCCTAGGGGAGGTACCTGGGCATTCCCACTGGCCTGAAAGTACATTAACTGATTGGATTCTATGCTTTCTGGGGAACCATCACCCCCAAGAAGATCAACTGGCAAGAATTATCAGGACACCGGTGGGATCCACGGAGTGGTGATATTTTCTTTATTCTATCTCTGTCACTCTTTCCTGTCCCCCCCATCTCTTTTCTACTTCTTTCTCTTCCTTCTTATCTCTGTCTCTATTTACTATTAAATAAAACCCATGCTATTGATATTGGCACATGGTCTCATTTGCACCTTAATTCAGGCAGAGGTATTTCTAAAAACTTTAAAAATCAGACCATGACAAAGACCCTTTTTTATCATATAAACACTGTAACAGGTTCTGTAACAATTCAGTTACAGAACTGAGTTGTAACTCAGTTGCCTCAGTGCCTAGTCCCCAACCTTACAATCAAAGAAACAAAAGGTATGAAGGGCTTCATCTACTGGTTTCTCTGTCCTAAACAGTCCTATGTTTTCTTTGCATTCTGTCAGACATTTTTCAAAGCTGGCATTGCAGGTTCTGACTGTAAGACCTTACACTGACTCTAGGTAAGTTGTTGTTATCCTCTCAGTAGCAGGTGCTTGCATCAGCTCCAGTGAAAGAATTCCTGATGCAAATTGAGTCCTCAAGATGTACAAAGATGCCACAAACAGTGTGAAATCTCCAGAGCTTGTTACAATGACATGACAGACATATTTGGAGAACCTGCATAGCACGATAGCAATGTGTCAGCTGCACAGGAGACATGAATTCTCATTATGACAAGGTAAATGTGCCTGGATGGATCTGTCCTCCTCAGATGTATCCTCCTCCTTTGCTCACCTATTGTCTCATTTTCTTCTCTTTAGTAACACAGCTTGTAATCTTTCTGAGACAAGGAATGCCTTCAAGCAGAAGTCTGTGCAAGGCTCTAGCCCATCTGTGGTCATATCCCTTCTTTGAACTATCTGGTGATAGCTACTGTGACATAAATAATACACTCTGTATTGGTAAGCAGTTAAGAAATTCCATAGGTCCTAATTTGCTTAAGCTATATCCCACAGGTGAGTTCCCCTTCCAATCACATATAGTCCCGTCAGAAACTCACACAGTTTCTTACACATGAAAATAATATTAGGAAAACATGTAATGTAAGCTTTGCTTAATTTAGACGAATTTAGAAGCTAGAAGTAACAAGGAAGAACTAGCAATTTGCAAAAGGCCAGCCCTGCACAGACCACCAGCAAGCGCTCCATACACCTCAGTTTGGAAAGACAGATGGAAGACATTATTTTGTTTTGAACAAAATACCATCTGGGGCCAACATTTACTGTCTGTTATTTGTGAGTAAAACCAGAGAAACTCCTTTGTGGTCCTTAATAATCAGTCCTGGGACCAATCTTATTAAATATTTTCCTTAATGAACTTGGCAGAAAAAACGAGGTGCCTGGTCATGAGATCTGCTGAAGACACAAACTTGAGTGACTGTATGGCTAGTGCAGAGGAGGATCAGAATATGATATGGGACGAGAGAAGAGCTGAATGACCTTGAAGGAAGGCCAAGAGAAACAAGTAAATTTTAACAGTAGCAAAGAGCAAGACACTGCATTTAGAGACTAAGGTAGAAGCTTGTTGATTCAAGATAGAAGAAAAAGGACCTGAGTTAATCTGAGAACAGTGACCTTAAAAAGAACAACTGCAACTGTAATATATATCATGAAAAATATTTCCAACAGACGTAGGGAAATGTTCATATAATGGCACAGAGAACAGCTGAGACATCATCTAAACTGCATTTAAGTCTTGGTCATGCAAATTCAAGCAAAATTAGTTCAAAGTAGAAGATGTACAAAGAGACCATACTGTGCATCTCATGAACAGCATGAGATGTTGGCATATTCAACTACAGAATACAAGTAGGTGCATAAATTATGTGTATAGTAAATTAAATATTCCAAAGATGGTTCTATGACACTGAGATCGACCAGAAAGGACTAAAAAAAGCCTAGGATAGTTATATGCATCCTGCTGACTGGGCAGCCCATTGTCCATTCAGACTTCGGGAACATCACGAACTTGAGAGCATCCCAGGTGGCACCAGCTCAAACTTTGCTTTTGATGTACCAGTGACTGAACTGCCATGACTCAGTGTTCCTGGTAGTGCTTACACATTAACTAAGGGAAAAAACCATTCAAGTTGAAGGAAAAGCTGGCACAAAAATTGACAGCTTTTACAGAGACCCAAGCAAGTTAGGGGTAGAAATTGAAGACAGGGATTTGCACTTCCGTGTTCAGGTGTGTAGGTCAGTACACACCTGCACTGGACAGGAGGGACCCTACACATAGGGTGACCATTTCTTTCTAAGAGGATGTCTAGACATCAAGACATCAAGACAGTTGCCCTCTGGAGCTGCTTACTTCTGTCCTTTGTTATCAAATGCCACAAGTAAGACTTACACATCTGATTTATAGATATCTGTGCTAGGGGAAATTAAACCCACCCTTGAAGTTCTCCAGTAATCCAGAAATCCAGGAGCATTCTGAAACAGATTTCCAAGGCATTCAGGAAGCACATGCAGCCACTTGACAGTATTTACCTCCTAGAAGAAGACAGTGCATCAACACCTAAACAACATGATGTCTGAGACTGGGGGAGAGTTTCCAGCCAGTGGAAACTGATGTGATCTTGGGAGTGATACTGATTCACAACAGCAATTATCTTGTTCATCACCATTTCTGTGAGAAGAAATAAAGGATCCTGCAAGAGCCCCTGGTAGATGAAAATCTTTCCAAACCACCTGAGGTCAGGGCACAGTGATGTTCGGGTATTATTTCTTCTAGTGTCTTCAGGGCTATTATGCATGATAAGAAAGGCTCAATATGATCAGATTTTCCACTAAGTTTATTTTTCATGGTATGACAACACAGTCTATCTGGAAACAATCTCCACCTCTCTCATTTCCTGGGTCACCTTTCATTTTATTTTGTGTTCACCACATGGAGACACAAGTGAAAATCTGTGATTTTCATTCATTAGAATTTGGACAGAAAGACTTGATGCATCTACCTCACCTTGAGAAAACTGCCTTCATATTTGGCTACCCCAAGTTCCAGTAGTGGAACAAGACCAGTGCTAAGTGAATACACTATTGCCAGAACACATGGCTGCTGACAAGCCCATAGGGCTGAACTGAAGGTTTCAAAGCCCTGGACCTGGACCAAGACACTGTGCTCACAGTATACATTTCTGGCTAGAGAGATGGGGAGGCAGTAAATAGGTATCATGATATAAGCCACCATCTCCAAAAGGTCACTGAGAAAGAAGCATACCTTCTCCATCCCTAGGAACAATATTTCTTCTCCATATTTTAGATGGCAAGTCCCCATTTCAGGAGCATTTTAAAAGCATGTAGGTTGTTATGCGTTCCTGCAATCCCAATGGTCAGACTGACAGATTTTCCATGCTGGGGAAAGACTAATAGTCTGGAGAGTGTGCAGAAATCTTGTTTACACTCACCTGGTGCATTGGCTGCTTTCAGCTCTTTCTGCATTTTCTAGTCTGCAGTGCTCAACTTTCAAAAAAGAGTGCCCAGCAAGAATTAAGGAGAGTGTTGGTGTGCACTGGAGAAGGAAAGATAGGGAAGCATGAAGTACAGGCCCTGAATTTGGAAGGCAGTAATAAGGCTAAGGATGGGACAGAAGAGAATTGGAGGTAAGGGGTTCAGATAGGCCTCTGAAAAGGCCTTTTAAGAGGGAAAACATAAAATTAACAAACCTGCTTCTAAGCATGGACCAGAGAGTGTCTCAACACAAAGTGCTGCTCATGGGATACTTTCTAGCAGCACTCCATTTTCACATGCTGCAGGGTTTATGACTCCACACTGAACAATCCAATAGCTACAGATGTTTGGCTCCAGGAAATAAACTAGGGACAATTTCCCAGCCCTAAGCACAATTGGCACAATATATTTTATGTCCATATAACTTTCTTACCTTCTATCTCAGGTAGCTTGGTGCTATGTCCCAACTTGCTGGGCCAGTCTATCCTGAGCCTGAAACTTAATGGCTTGTCATGGTCAGGCTTTCTTCAATCTCCTTGCAAACCTGCTAATTAATTAGATTGCCATGGAGCTCAGAATGTTTTCTCGCTCAAGGACATGGCCCTTCTGGAATGCAGCTGAATTCTTCAGGGATTCAAGGTAGATTACAGCACATGAGATACTGGCCAAGACAGCTTTTGCAAAGGGTCCCTGAAAACACCATTACTCTGGTTGCCTCCCCATTAACCTATAGCATTTCTCTCACTGCCACAGGGCAGACAGCAGCTTCTGTAAGCCAGGAAGATGGAGTCACTCACCAGCCTTTGCACTGTGCATTGAACATCTGGTTGTAGACAGGGGAATGAATAAGCTAGAGGACTAATGTGAACCAGATTGTTTGCACCCTGTCTGAAAAAATCCTCTAGAACCTTCCAATGTTGACTTTTTGATTCTTTCACACATAGCCTCTTTGGGCACCCTCTGGGAAACTAGGAGAAGTATGGGTTTGCATTATCTGAGAAAAAGGATTTGCCATGCTCATCATGCTCTGCTTTCATCCAAGCAGGCAGGTTTGGGCTGCATCTGATCAAAATGTTCCTGTCACAGGTACTCTGCTATGTGTATCCATTCACACCTTTAATGCCACTAAAAGTTCTTCCGAGAATTGCAAGGACTTTAGTCTTCATACTATTTGAGAAATTCAGATTTGGCACGTAAAACTTAAAAAAAAGAAAAAGTAATTCAATTATAACTGCAAATCATTGTTGACAAAACTGGCAGGAGTTCTTAACATTATGTCATATAAAATAAGCTCATTTTCTTTTTAGTATAAGAGTTCAGTTTCCTTCCTTCCTGTTCATACCCCTTCTCTAAGCTGAAACCAAAGATTTCTGTAATTATTACTGCCAGGCCCAAACAACTAAAAAAAATCAAATCTGGCATGCAGAACATCTTCACCTACCATGTCTTTCAATGGCTTATGAAATATTTCACGTACAAACACATACACACACATGCACCCACACACTTGCACAGGAATGCCTATTGTTAACATTATTTTATGACTCTCCCTCAATGCAAAAGAATGAGTAAAGGAAGCTGGCAAATTCTTTTACATCATGAGGTGTTGGTATGAGTGTGGGATGGATAATGGCTTGGCCTCAATGCAGAAGGCATTAATTTAAGGTCATGGGAAGGAAACTGGATGTTAGAAGGCAAGACACTGGGATAAATTAGGGTGAGAAGAGTTAGATTATGGGCGTGGTTATGTAGGTAATATAGTTACATATAAGGTTACGTTACAAGTTCTTGTTGATGATTGGTTAGTTACATTTTACATATATGGTTTTGTCTGTGATCCTCCCAGTTCATTGTTCCCCTGCCCTCAGATTGCCCCTTATATATTGTTATGTTTGCCCCAGCTTCGTGTCTTCCGAGGTTGACCCTATACCATGCACAGCTTATGTTCTTTTGTTATTTTATGCATTATTAAAGTTCTTTATTTTCAAGCAACCCAGTCACACCCGTCCCTATTTTAATTTTGCCACTCAACCCCCAGCTGGTCTGGTCCCAGAGTCGTGTGGACACCAATGTGACAATGAGGTCAAGGAGATGTAATCCTAGAAATGTCAATGTTGAAAGTCAGAAAGATCTGTCAGGTCAAACTGAGGCAGTTCCTGGAGATGTTGTCTAATAACTTAAATTTATGCTGCATTAGATATGCTGAGGTGCTTCAACCCTTAGACTGTGGTTGCTGATTTTCTTTGGTAA